GAAGAGGAGGAGAAGGAGAAGAAGAAGGAAGAGGAGGAGAAGGAGAAGAAGAAGAAGAAGGAAGAGGAGGAGAAGGAGAAGAAGAAGGAAGAGGAAGAGGAGGAGAAGGAGAAGAAGGGAGGCACAAAGAAGTTGAATGGGATGGACTGAGAACCACTGTAGTTTGCGTCTGAGCTGACAGGAGGTAAGAAGACCCTAGGTGACTCATTTGCTGGCATGTGACCTCTGAGCACCAATTCCAGAATCTGACAGATCTTCTCCAGGGGGAAGGTGACCCTAGGTGGAGCGGGAGGAAGGGAGGGAAAGAGCAATGGGGCTCTGTTGTGTGCACAGCAGCCCAGGAACGTCAACATTGTGAACGGCAGATATGGACAGATAAGAAAAGAATCTGAGCTGGTTTCTTCACCTCTAAAACTAGGAAAATAAGGCCCCCCCATCAAAGTTATTCAGAGGTCATTGATATTACTTGGTCGTTTTTCTTTTTGAAAGTTTCAATTTAACATTCATCACACACTCATTGTCGGAAACTGCCGAGCCCCCGAAACCACACAGCCTCACACCCTACGGCAGCTTCTTAACTGTGGGAAAACACCTCCATGGACATGAGAAGAGGACAGCTTTGGGTGAGAAAAGGCGATAGCAGAGGACCTGAGGTGGATGAGTCACAGAGAGCTTGAGGGCAGAAGATGGGTCAGCCCAAAAGCAAGCCACTCACCTAATGCCCAGGAAAATGAGGTAGGAAGATCACAACTTTGAGATCACCCTGGGCTACAGGGCAAGACCCTGTCTCAACAACAACAGCTAGGCATGGTGATGCACGCTTCTAATCCCAGCACTCAAGAGGCTGAGGCAGGAGGATTACTGACAGTTCAAGGCCAGCCTGGGCTACATAGTGAGTTCAAATCCATCCTGAATTACTCGGCAAGACTCTGTCTCAAAAAACCAACCAACAGCAACAACAAAATAAAAATAAATTAAATTTAAATGATTAGCAATGGGGAACTGTTGGATAATTTAACACACATTCATAAGAAGTAATGATTAAGCCATTAAAATTTATTTTGCAAGGAATATTTGATTACAAGGTAGACGCCCTGTGCTTATCTAACAGGTAATTGTATGTTTCAGCAGTTGAGAGGCAACACCCTGCTCACTGGGTGAGAAGGGTCTGTTTCTGTGTGTCTACTTACCATCAGTGAAACACGTTGTGGCTATAGCTTCAGGATTTTATCATTTGAATAGATGCCAGTGCTCTCTCCTGTTCTCACACAGGAGAAGAAAATTTCTTTGAAAATTATTTGAGGAGCTGGGCATGGTGGTGCACACCTACAATGCCAGCACTTAGGAGGCTGAAGCAGGAGGATTGAATCAGGTTTGAGGCCAGCCTGGGTTACACAGTGAATTTAAGGCCAGCCTGAACTACAAAAGAAAAGGAAAAGAAAGGAAAAGAAAAATATTTGTGGCTTGAACAAAAATTCCAGGAGTATGTTCCTCAACGACTGTTCTGTCATCCTTCTTCAAGATTGAGACAATTCAAGGAGAGCTCCCACTCGACTTTAGAGAGATGTTCTGGGTCCTGTGACCTCCTCAAGCAGGACAGTGTTGATGGTCACATGGGGCAGGAGAGAAGACGCTGCCTGGCGGCCAGCAGTTACCCTGCAGGCCAGTTCTGCTGGGCCAGCTCCCTGTGAGGCTGGGGATTAGGGTGTGGTGAAGCTGGCTGGGGAAGTGGGCGTGGCTTGTTAACTAAAAGATCCCGGACACACGCACAGAACAGTTCCCAAAGCCCTGCTCTTGGACTTCTCCCAGAACTCCAGCAGGTTTTCAATAGGATGTGTGGACGTGACGTCAGGGGGAGGCAGGGGATCTCAGCGCCGCCTCTCAGGACCCGGATGTCGGAGTTCTAACAGGTTTCCCCGAGATTTGGATGGCGTAAAAGAAAGGCAGGCGCGAGGAGCAGGGTATTTAACTTGCACGATAACCCACGCTGTGTGTCCCAGACGCAGCGTATACTTTTATCTTTGCTCGTACCTTTTTTCTCTTTACTTGGCTCAAGCTTGCTCTGCAGAGCCAGTTTCTTTCCCACTCTTCAGTTTTACTTTTTCAAATAAACCTCGTCACTGTTTTTCTGCTTGTTTCATCCAATTCTTTGTTCAAGAGAAGAACCTGGAATCTAACTCCACAGCGAGAGGCCAGCAACCCTGAACCTCGTTGCATTTGGTTGATGAGCCACTTTTAGAAGCAGGCTGCCCAATAACAACTGCGCTGAGCAGATGCCCTGAGCACCCTGCCTGTCTGTCCCCTGGGAGCCAGAGCCAGGTCGGCCTGCACTCGGGGCGACGGCCTTGCTTCCCGCAGTTCCTGTCTGATTAGGCCTCGGAGCTATGCACTCTTATAAAGATAGAGCCAGGTATAGCAGTGCATGCCTGTAATCCCAGCACTTGAGAGGCTGAGGCAGGGAGGTTCACTGCAAGTTTGAGGCCAGTCTGAACTAGATAGAGAGATGCTATCTCAAAAAAAAAAAAAAAAAAAAAAAAAAAAAAAAAAAAATTCCTTTCTCGTATTTGTTTGTTTGTTTTTGTTTTTGTTTTTGAGACAGGATCTCACTATGTAGCTCAGGCCAGCCTCAAACTTGTAGCGATCCTCCTGCCTCAGCCTCCTGAGTGCTGAGATCACAGCAGGCATGTGCCACCATGCCCAGTTCCTCCTCAGAGTCTAACGACTCATTTCGCATGGTGGTGTGTGTACCTGCCAGCTTTCCCTCATAGCAGGGTGCCATGGCCCTTCCTGCCAGACCAGCCCCCTGGTTTCACTTGTGTCCGTGTAGAGTTCTGTCCATCATCACAGTCTCAGTCTGACCGCGCTCTGGATCCGCCCTGACAGCATTCCTGGCCTGGCCTGCTCCCTCTTCTCACCTTTCCTGTCCTTCCCAAGTAAAGCCCTCTGGCGTTACATCCTTCCTCCTTCTCCTTCCCCTTCCCCTCCCCCTCTTCTTCCTCCTGAGACAGGGTCCCAGGCTAATGGTAATCTTCCTGCCTCAGCCTGCCAAGATCTGGGATTACATCCTTTCTTGACCACTGCTTTGCAGAGAACATGGCCTAACGCACATCGTTCTTCATCAGTCGGCCGCAGGACTTCTAAAGGAGAAAATCCTCATCAACCATCTGCTTACCTTAAGGGATAATTTCTATAAAAAGGCAAATAAAAGTTTGATTTTTTTTATTCTTTTCATTTACCAGTTTTCAAAGGAACAAATTGCTTCCTAGTCTTTTTAAAAAGTATTCAATGACTTGTGGGACATAGGGGTGCACACCTGTAACCTGGGAGGCTGGGGCAGGAGGACTGCAAGTTTGAGGTTGGCCTGGCCAATTTAGCCACTTAGGGAGACTCTATCTCAAAATTTAAAAAAAGAAATTAAAAAAGGCTAGGGATGTGGCTCAGCGCAAAAGCCCTGGGTTTAATCCTCAGAACTGCAAAACAAACAAAAAAAAACACAAGTATTCAATGATTTAAAAATTCAGTGTCATTATAAACTCATGAATTTAAACATATTTGATGCATTTTGACCCACTGAAGTTATTGGTTTTTTGTTTTTTTTTTTGAGACAGGTCTCACTATGCAGTTCAAGTTGGCCTTGAGCTCACTTTGTAGCCCAGGCTGGTCTTGAACTCATGGCTATCTTCCTGCCTCAGCCTCCTGAGTGCTG